GGAAGGAGCTCTTCGCACGCACAAACAAAAAACCACATGCGCGCGTGCACTCGACCACGTAAACGAGAGCTGTAAAGTGAAGCTCTGAATATAAAAAAAAATACTGTAAATGTGAGCTCCGTAGAAGTGGTTAAACAAAATAGCATGCAAAGCCTCGTGGCGATTTGAAGAGCGTTCTTTTTCACCTATAATAAGCGAGAATTAATTTGGGATTTGTCCTGTTCCAGTAGGTGACCCAGAACATTCCACACCACACACCACTCACCCCTAGTGGTTTTGCCTCTCGTTACGATTGCTGCTACTCGCCACGACCGTGCCACACACTGGACTCAAGTCTGCCCGCCGACCCGGAAATTATACGGTGGGAAATGAAGCCTTAATACTAATAATAATCATCACTCTTGGGATTTGAGTTCAGCTCAAATGTCGGTCCGGAGAGAATGGCCTTCAACCCTTCAAAACTTAAAACAAACAATCGGTGTTTTCTTTAGCCTTCCGTGCTTGTGCCCAGTGGGGGTCTTTAAGAAAGTGCTATTCACGAGAGCGCAGAGACAACTAATCCAGGGTTCAGCCTCTCCCGAGAGATCGATCCATGCCCTTATTTATCCACGCGAGAACCAAATTAGACTCCGAATTCTCTCTTGTGAGAGAGGCACAGGAGACCACAATTCAGTGAGGGGAGGTCTTTCAATGTTGTCATTCCCGACAGGAATGTTTACGTGGTAAAATAAAAAGTTTGAGTCTTTTTTTAGTACATTATTATCGCTAACACTGTACTTCTGAGGGCAGGACGTGCGTTGGAAAGCGCTGGAGATTACACGCGTGTGGCGTGTAACTTTTTGCAGTCGCAACTTTTTTTCCGCGCCGTTCCAACAGAACGCGATGCCCACTCGATCCGTTGCATGGCAAACATTCGTATTGTTATTATGCCCTGGGAACTACAAGGAGAACGAAGAGAAAGATAAGTATTAAGTGAAAATTGGCAGCGTTGCTGCCACGTACTGAACTGGGTGTGGCGAGGGGGGAATAGGACAAAGGCAGATGCCAGAAGTGCACTCACACTGAGAAATTCACAAGGTCAGGTGTTTTTACGAGCGATAACGGGGCCTTGGGAGGGGGGGGCAAAGCCGGGCTCCCCTTCGCGGCTGTAAAATGAGCATCACTGCTGGCTGTTGGTGCTACTAACAGGGGGGAAAAAAATTAAAATCACGCAAACGCATGTATTGCGTAACCCTCTCCAACGGGAGATTCACTTCAGATGTGTTTAATTGGCAGTGCGTTAGGGCAAAATCTATTTGAAAATGTGACGAATTTTTTTTTTCTGCCGAGTGTCTCCAGGTTGGGGGAAAACCATTCGATTGCTATGACCCGTTTTTTCTCCTAGGCAGTCCCTAATAGCAACGCTACTCTTTACGCGATGAAAGTCCTGTTCACGTTGGATAATCTACACGAAGAACTTGACTGAACTAAACGTTTTTCTCACGATTATAACACGCGTATCTAAATTAGAATTCAACTGAATTCAGTTCCCGAAGAAGCTCCCAGCCCATGGAGGGAAACGTCGGACATTGTGCCGAACGTTTCGTGGTACAACCCGGAAACGCATCGGAGCGCTAAATCAATAACGCTACGACACCGTGTTGGGTGTCACAGGTGGCGAGATGTTAAAGACCTCATCTGGTATGCAGGAGGTTGTGGGTTCGATCACAACCCTAACGCCTGTTGTATATTTGTAAGTTTCTCTCTCCCCGTGATCGCGTAGATTTTTCTCCGGGTCCTCCGGGTTTTCCCTCCACATTTAAAATCAACATTACGCGTTGAGTATTTGGCTTCCATACATTTCCACGTGATAAGCCAGCCACTTCGTCGAGCTCTCATTTATGGCCAAGTCGCTTCTGAAGAAGAGCTACAAAGCTTGGTAAAATAGAATGAAATCAGTTTAAAATAAATACATTCACATATCTTCTTGGTCCTTTTGGTAAAGTCACGTAGAATGGAAATAATAAATAAAAAATAATTTAATAATTCTCACGACGTTTCGGCCACAACGCAAGTAGCCGTCCTCAGGTGGAGAACAGGTCTGTCGAGGAGACAGAGTCCGACTTCAGAGTCTGTCTCCTCGACAGACCTGTTCTCCACCTGAGGACGACTACTTGCGTTGTGGCCAAAACGTCGTGAGAATTATTTTATTATGTTTTATTTTTATTATTTTATTATTTCCATTCTACGTGACTTTACCGAAAGAACCAAGAAGATGAATCCCTGCAGTCACGAAAGCTTTAAATCGACATTCACATACTGAAACACTACATTTAAGCTTGCAAATCTTAGTTCGTTGTCCTTCCCCTGCACCTCCGATTTGCACGGTTGGCTATGTACGGTGCCAAAGTTCAACATACATAGACCATCAATTGAAAACCCGAATCTGTGACATGCGAGGCTTGATAGAAGGACCCATCCTGCGGTAACGAATCACACCTCTTGCTGTGATGGAAATCACCTTCGGCTCTTGTTACCACCACGGGTAAAAGAAACTTACTTGGTTAGAGGGGTTCTCCCGCTCACTTAGGAGCTGCACTCTCCGATTATTTCATTAATTGACGAAACTCCCATTAGCGAGGTTTTGCTACGTTCGGTGCGAAAGAAATTCAACGTACGTACATGAGTAACAAATGTTCATTCGACGTGTGTCCATTCTTTCCTAAGCACTTTGATAATCCCTCTACACGTCACGATCAGGATATATCGCCATAAAAGCATGTTTGCGTGTATGCACATTGAACTGCTTACGTAGTCAGCCATGCCAATGGGTGGTGCGGGGGGGACAACAAACTAAACAGTTGTTAAGCTATGAGTCTTCAATGTCGATTTAAAAGTGCGTAGCTCCATGCGGCTTCCTAATCTTTGGGAGGAAGAGCGTTCCAGGTACGGCCGCAGAAGCGCATCTGAAAGTGCCACGCTGTGTGGCGACCGTCTTTGTTCGACAGCCAGCCAAAAGCCGCTGCTGCCGCTGCTTGCTGTGAGGATGTATGGTTGGGCTCCGCAGGCGAGGGCCTCGTGCACGTGTGTGTGCACGCTAAGACTGCTGAACAAGCGGCTCACTGTTTGCCTTAAGCCTAATATGGCGCTGTTGTGTACCAACGGTTTAACTTGGCGAGGTCACATCCCACGTCTATTTTTTGCAAACTCTAATTTCAAAATGTTCCTGAATTCACCGGCCGAGGGCGGACCGCACGCATGTCCCACACTCGACCCCCACCACCACCCCCCCCCCCCCTAGGGCTACGTTTCTTGGGCTGTATTTTTACGCTCATTAGCTTCTCTCCAATGCTCTTTTCGCGGGGGGTAGTGACGAGGCACGCGGTTTCGCCGTCGCCGCCAGCTCGCTTAGCGCACAGTCGCCCTATTTAAATGCCGAGGTTCACAGTCTTCGGGTGAGCGTTGGGTTAGCGGTGTTAAGTAACGCGCCCGGGGTTGAGGGGGGGGGTTAGTGTTGGATGATCGCTACAAAAATCGAGTTGGATAACTTCTTCAAAGCGTAACGTATGACGAAGATGCCGCTCGTCCAAAACGTTATTTCGAACTTGAAATTTCCGCCGCTAAACGAGTGATTCCGTCTCCGTCAATCCGAATCAGAATATTTATTTGTACTGGAGGAATCCGAAGAGCTATAGATATTTTTTTTTCCAGTTAGGGTGCAGGTCCGAACATTACAACAACAAATACAAGTTTTTTTCTCAGATGAAGACAAAGTTACAGATGTTACACTTTAACTGAACTCTGCTCTTCACCGTATGAAAAACACATTCCTGCGGAGGGAGCTGGTAGGAACGTTGGGTTGCTCGGTCAATGGCCAGGGTCAACGGCGGCGTGAGTAGGTTAAACGTTGAGTTTTATAAGGGCACCACGGGGTGACCAGCCCCTCTCCACCCAGCCCCACCACTCCCCCCCCACCCAGCCTCTCCCCACCCTCTCCACCCAGCCCCTCCCCACCCTCCCCACCCAGCCCCTTCCCACCCTCCCTTCTCCACCCAGCCCGACCCCTCTCCACCCAACTCCTCCCACCCTCCCCTCCCCACCCAGCCCCTCCTTCCCCACCCAGCCCCTCCCTGCACGACGAACACAATAATCCCTTATGGGCTGGTGTAACCAGGAGGTTCTTACCAGTAAAAGGAATGCTTCGGGAGCATATGTTGTAACTGTGGGCATCATCAAAGAATTGAGACCAGCTCTTGAAACAAAAGTAGCCCATCTTTTCACTCCGTGTACACACAGAA